AGACCCCACCAGGAGGGGAAGGGATGGGGCAGCACCTTCTCTGAGTGCTTGAAGTGTCTCCAGAACTGGGTGTACGTCCGCTTGGTCGTCTTCTCCGGGTAGCAAGCCACCGTCTTGATGTAGATCTTCAAGCTGCGCTCCAGGAGCTGGTTCACCTCCCCGTAGTCGTAGTCATCATAGCTGGGGGCAGGGGGAGGAAGAGAGGAGGGTGCATTACTCCAAGCACAACCCTTGCCCATCCCCACAACCCGGGGGTCTTTCCAGACCTAAGCCAAGCCCCTCAACAGCATCCCTTGACCTTAGTCTACGCAACCACAAGAGTCTCACCAAGACCCCGTGGCTGGACCCGCTCACGGGCTCTACCCAAGGTGGAGACCAGGCTCCGGCCTCCGGCTCGAGGACCTACCGGATGCCGAAGACGCAGTGGACGTAGTTCCAGATGGCCCTGCGCAGCATGGACGTGTCCACGCCGCAGTGCATGGCGATGGTGTTGTAGGTCAGGTTGTAGACGACCTGGAACTTCTCATCCAGGAGCTGCCCCACGTCGGGGTAGAGGCGGTTGATCAGCGAGTAGCCGTGGTCCTCCCAGGTGTAATCCTGCCGGAGGAAGGGGCTTGACAGGGAAACGTGGGGTCTCCTCAAAGCCAGGGACAGAAGCTGGGGTCTCTCAGGACCTGCCACCCCATCCCCTCGGGCTGGTGCGGGACCGGGAGCACCCACCTGCGCCCGGAAAGTGGGGGGCGCCTGCTCGCCCCTCCGTGTGAAGTCCTTGTAGCCGAACTCGGGGTCCTCCACGAAGCAGAGGACGTTGGACTGCAGGGAGTGATCCGCAAGATCTGCAAGGCACCATCGCGGCGGCCGTGAGCGCCGCGTGACCCCAGACAGAACCAGCCCTGCCGCTGGGGGCCTGATCCTACTCCCACCCAGGCACATGCTGGCTCCTTCCCCCCTCCTCCAGCCCATGGGAACCCCATCCCCAGCCAGCTGCACCCCTACACCCCCCTCACCTGAGGGAGCGACCAGCAAACTCTCCGTCTTCTCCAGCTCAAAGCGCGTCGCCATCTCCTCCTGGGTGACCCCCTCCTCCTCCAGCTGGCTCTCCTGCAGCAGCTTCATCCTCTCCATCAGCGCCTCCACCTCCCGCATGGCGTCTTTGCCCTGGCGAAGCAGAGGGCAGAATCAACCCTGCCCCAGGTCCGGCAAGGTTGCAGCGAGGTTGCAAGCCCAGAGCAGCAAGGAGCCGCTCTCAGCTCTGCTGGCACTTGGAGCAGCCCCCAGGGCTGTGTCCTGCCCAGCCCCCAGCTGCTCTTCTGCCTTATCCTGGCGACTGGGAGGAGGGGGAAGCCCTGAGGAGGGTGCTTGCGGGGAGGGTGCTACGGCACCACTCTAAAGCATCTGCTGTTCCCAATAAAAAAGCCTTGGGGCACCAGAAAGCAGACCAGCACCCCCCAAACCTTCCCTTCCTCCCTTACCCCGGAGCTCCCCATGCTGTCGTCAGAGGCAGGGCTGCTGTCGCTGTGGGGCGAGGGGGGCCGGCAGCCGTGCTCCCCGTCTTGCTCCTCTTCGGGGTTGATGCCGCAGCCGAAGACGAAGGAGGCGAGCGAGGGGGCGTGAGGAGCACCAGGGCCTGCACCAGCTCCGCCAGCGACCAGCTGTTCTCCCCCGTCTTCAGCAGAGCCTGCAAAGCACATGGGGTTGGAAAGACCCCCTCCAGCCCCCTCCCCTGGCTCCCCAGAGCCTGGGTAAACCAAGGGCAGGGAGACAGGAGGGTGTTTGGGATGTGCCTCCCCGATAAACCAGCTGCAAGTCACCCCTGCTCCATCCATCAGGAGCAGCGCAGACCCTGCCCTCCAGCTCAGAGACTCGCTCAGCCCTGAAAGGGTTAAGTCTGGGGGGTGGGTGGGATTCAACAATTGGGGTTAAGCCCCCCCAAAACCAGAGTGTACTCTGGGGAGGGAGGGATCTGCACCGGCAGCATCAGCTCTCACCTCGATGTGCTCCTTGGTGATGAGCCAGGGCCGGTGCGCCAGCAGCTTGTTGATCTCATTGAGGTTTCGGAGTTTTGGGGGGGCACAGTGCAGCCCCTGCAGCCACGCCGGGTTACCCCCCACCTGCAGGAACTCCGCCATGTGCAAGCCCACCAGGTAGGAGCACTGGTGCCGGGCTGCTGCCTGCGGGGACAGCCGGGCAGTCAGCCCCCCAGCACTGGCCAGGGGGCCCCCAACCCTGCTACAAGCCCTTGGAGAAGCCAAGGTGGGGAGCCACCCCCCACCCCATCGCTCCTGGGGGGCTTTCCCTGGGGATGAGAGTCCAGACAGGGGTCTCTGACCCCCCTCCCACAATCAATGCCAGTCCCCAGGGGCCCTGGAGGGGAGCGGTGCTGGGGTACCCTGGCTGGGCACCATAGGACCAACCCCAAAGGGGCTTCCAAGCCCCTGGGACCCCAGATCCAAGGGGAACCCCATCTGTGGAGTCCAAACACCTTCCCACCTCCGGGCAAAAACCCAGCGGAGGTGCTGGGACCACAGAGACCCCCACGGGACGCCCACACCCCAAGGGACCCCCCCCCTCCTCACCATGATGGCAATGTAGTGGCGCTTGTGGTAGGGCAGGGGCCCGTCCATGCGCAGCAGGAGGTACTGGGTCTTCCAGAAGCTGCTGAGATACTGGGGGTGCAGCCCCATGACCATGGTGATGTTGTCCACCCTGCCCGCCGAGACGAAGGCCTCGATTAGGCGCTGGCGCCCGCTGCTCTCCGCGCCTTCCTGCAAGATCTGCCGGGACAGGGAGAGGAGGGGCGGTGAAGGGCTGTGTGCTGCAGCCCCCCAACTCCTCCACAGCACCCCCCTCAACCTAGAGGGAGACCACCCCCATCAAGCAGTCGTGGCCAGCAGGATGCAGAAGCACC